CAAGGTTTTGTCTAATCTCTGGTGTGACTGTCATGTGCTGCAGCAAGGAAATGGCTTTGGAAGGAGCAGCCAAATCTGTGCGGGTATTAAACCATGTTGAGGAGAGGAGTATCAGTGGGGATCAAATGGGCAGCCATTCAGTGCAGGGAGCTTATTAAAGGCAGGGATTAACTTGGCTGCTGTTCATGAGGTCATGGAAGTGGTAAGGGATTTCCAGGATGTACCTTTCCTTAAGGGCAAAAAATGTCAGCAGCAAGTGGAAAATGCCCCCTCTGTGCTGCTAGTGCCCAGAATTCGGGTGGTTCTCATCTTCTCCCATGTATTGATCTTGCTCTCCACAGGATTTCTGTGGAGCAGGAAGCCTGTCAGTACCTGTTAGTCCTGGGGTGGGGATTGAAGGGATGAAGATCTCAGGGGTGGGACAGACAGTGGTGGGACAGATCTCCTCTCTGGGGGAGAGCTGGGTTCCAGCAGCCTCTGCAAGGCTGGGGCTGGGAACAGCCTGGAGAAGTGGTGCTGGAGCTGGAGCTGCAGCCAGGGCCCTCTGCATTAGTGATGCCTCACTTGCCTGAGGCACAGCAAACTTCTCTGTCAGGCTTGTGACTTGGCTTCCAGCTGTAGCAGGTCCAGGTACCATGGCTTAGCTTTTGATAGGCAAAGTGAGGATGTCTGCATTCCTCGTGAATGAGCTGCTGTTGTTTTAAACTTTGGAATTGGGTATTCTCTGCTCTTTTCCTTGCCTCTATGCTCCCAGCATCACCAGGTGCTGAGTTACAGGTAGCAGCAATTTGGTCAACCAACCAGAAGGATCTCAATTCAATTTGTGTCGCAGGAGTTTGAGGACAGAGAGGTTCTGTAACACCCTGAGCCAGTACTAGCACAGCATAAGATAACAGAGCACTAAGTTCTAGAAATCACAGTTTTTATTCTGTGCAGCTGAAGTGTCTGTGTAGGTGCAGCCAGAGAGTCATGGAGGATTCATGGCCCAGAAGAAGAAGGGAATACCTACTCTTGGGAAAAGCAGAGCTTTTATGGGCCATGTCCAAGCTCCTCAGGGAATCTTGGAGTTGTCTCAGCATTCCCACACAGGAAGCAGGTGTGTTGTGTTCTTTGCTCCTGTAAGCTTAATTGCTCTGTTCCTAAGAATAAAGTGTAAATGGTTAGGTTGCGTGCAGAAATCCAAAATCATTCCTAGGAAAGGACAACTGTGTGTGTGCACTGAGGGGAAATGAGTAAACCAGGAGGTCAAGGACCTTGTAGAATTTGGTTTGCCATCACAATCCACCAGCCCTTTGCACTCCTGCCGCAGCATCACCACATCAGTTTCTCATGCTGGTTTTTGTACCTTCTCAGCATTATTTTTCCTGAATCTTTCCAAGGCCTCTCCTCTCCCCTTGGAAGACAGAGATCCTGTCAGCAGCTGCTGGGGCTGATCCAGGTCCGTGTTGACCCAGGGATGTATTTTGTGTGGACTGGTGGTCATGTGTCCAGCCCTGCCACAGACACCTTTTGTGCAGTTGTTTTAACTTGAGATGACCCAATTCCAGAGAATCCTGGAATGCTTTGGGTTGAAAGGGACCTTAAAGCCCATCCAGTCCCACCCTCTGCCATGGCAGGGACACCTCCCACTGCCCCAGGGTGCTCCAAACCCCAGTGTCCAACCTGGCCTTGGGCACTGCCAGGGATCCAGGGGCAGCCACAGCTCCTCTGGGCACCTCTGCCAGGGCCTGCCCACCCTCCCAGTGAAAAACTCCCTTCTAAATTTTTTGATTATTTTTTATTGATATATAAATTCAGAATGTTGTGTGCAGGTTCAAGTAGTGCACAATAAAATCTTCTCTTTCCCGATTCCAAGTGCTGTGTTGTTGGATCCTGATCCCATGTTTGCTGTGGTTCTGGTCCATATTAACCATGTGAAATAGAATTTTCTGGACTCTCAGTACAACTGGCAGGAAGATCAAAGTTCCAAGCAGCTGATCTCAGATGAGAGATTATAAAGGCAGGATAATCGGATAAAGGGCAGTTGAAGAAATTTGACACTTAAAATACTTTTTGTAAATCTGCCTGTCCCTGTGTGTCCTTGGTCTTGGGAGGAGAATTTGTGAAGCTGGGCTTGTCTAGGTGAGATATTTTGAGGCAAGATAAGAGATTTGGAAGTTTACTGTAGATAATGTCTAATAACTGATTAACAGGTGAGGATTTGTGTCGGGAAATGAGTGTGTGGGACTTCTGGCTGTTCACTAGTGTTTGGTTATCTGGCTTGTGTGTTATCTTGTTTATATGTTATAATAACACCAATCCTGAAACACGTGTTCCTTGCTTCCTGTAGGGAGAGAGAGAAAATGTGTTTAAATGTTGGGTATAAATGGAGCTACTTCCAGGAAAAAAAACCCTAGAAACTTGGGATCAACCAGTGTATTCATTAGAGGAATTGAAATCAGCAATAAATTAAAGGACACTTAGTGCTGTCAGACAGCTTAAACTTCCTCACTGATTCAGTGCAGGCTGCTGGGAGCAGGAATTCTGTCTACACATTTTTTCTCGCTAATTATGTAGAACCACGTAATGATGCTGAAATGCTATTTTTGCCTCCAAATGTAATACTGCATTTCTGCAGCAGCCTTTCCCTTTAGTGGGTGTTTTCTGCATGAATCAACGTAAAATTCTAGCAGGAAACGTAATGTTCTCAGTATTGGAGAGTGCACACGGGTGTAGGACGTGGTGATGGAGAGGGGCTGAGCAGTAGCTTCAGCTCTTGGGACAGTGTGAGGCATGGGGGGAGCTGTATCCTCTGGGGAGGAATTGGTTTCCTTGCAGCAACTCTCATGTTTCTGGAATTTGTCAGTTTTTGCTTTAATGCTATTTATAGTTCAGCATATATAAACATTGGCCTGTGTTTAGGTGAAAACACAAAGTTTCATTTGAAGTCTGATGTGTGTGGAGTAGGTTTGTGGCAGCAAGGGTTCTTAAAGGTACCCAGGCACTTGGGGTTCCTCTGGAAACTGCAGTTCAGTAATGGTGTGTTTTAGACTGTGAAGCTGCATCTGAGGCAAGAAAAGCCAGGAGAGTTGTTTTTCTTCTGAAAGCTTGGATTTGACCATCACCCTGTGCCGTGAGTTCGCAGATTCACAGAATGGTTTGGAAGGGATTGGAAGGTAACACTTGTTCTCACTTTTGCTCCTGTTGTACTGCAAGGAGCAGCTGCATTTGCTTTTCCTCAGAGATGAGTGAGCAGTTTGTACAAGCCCTTGTAGATGAGCACCAGCCTTTACTCCAGCTGGCACTGGCACTTCTACCTGCAGCAGCACAGGAGAATCACGGGCAGATGTTCAGGGCTGCTGCTGCTCAAAATGTTGAGTGAGGGGCTCCAAAATGAGGGATTGCAGCAGTGTGTGTCTGCAGGTAAATACAGAGACTTCATATTTCATGTGTAAGTTGAATATATACACACACTTCCATTCCTTTCTCCTCAAGAAATCCTCTGAGAGGGGTGAATTGTCATCATCATCTGTCATGACTCATAATGTATTCAGAGTTGACTACAAAAACTCCTTTCCAAACCCCAAGTTCTTGGGTAATTGAGAGCTTGTCTCTTTGGGCTGATTTTTGGGGATTTTTTTGTTTAAGAAATTTATTTTTGATTCTCCAATGTGGTGAAGGTTCTGTGAAGCCTTTTGCTTTAGAGTTATGCTTACATCCAAGACTCCCACAGGATAATTTTTTCTCAGGGAGCACATGATTTTTGCAGTAATCCACAAGCAGCACAATTCTAATCTTTGTGAGTAATTCCAACAATATGATAAAGAGTGAGAGAAGGAAAAGCCAGCATTAGAACTGAAGCACATTCCCAAAGATCACAAGACCATTAAGAGCAAATCTTTAATTTCATGCTTCATTGATAAAGACCAAGTTACTTGAAATATGGTCTAAAATGTGACACCCAGCCTCTCTCCTGAAACCCCTGGTGAGCACACCTAAGGCTGCAGGTGTACAGGAGGCTGGAGTTAACTTGAGAGCTGGAAATAGGTGAGGATGGAGAAACTCTTAGAGGGAACCTTAGGAGGTCTCCTGGGTGACACACAAGGAGGAAGAGAGAGCAAACCCACGGGATTAATGCAGCACAGGGAGGACATGGAGCTGTTGGAGCAAGCCCAGAGGAGGGCATTGATCCCAGGGCTGGAGCCCCTTGGCTCTGGAGCCAGGCTGGGACAGCTGGGGATGTTCCCCTGGAGAGGAGAAGGCTCCAGGGGAGATCTTAGAGCCCCTTCTGGCACTTGAAGGGGCTCCAGGAGAGCTGGAGAGGGACTGGGACAAGGCATGGAGGGACAGGACACAGGGAATGGCTCCCACTGCCACAGGGCAGGGTTAGGTGGGATATTGGGAAGGAATTCTTCCCTGGGAGGGTGGGCAGGCCCTGGCACAGGTGCCCAGAGCAGCTGGGGCTGCCCCTGGATCCCTGGCAGTGCCCAAGACCGGGCTGGGCAGGGCTGGGAGCAGCCTGGGACAGTGGGAGGTGTCCCTGCCATGGCAGAGGTGGCACTGGAGGGGCTTTGAGGTCCCTTGCCCCCCAAATCCAGTCTGTGATTCTAAGACTCCATAGGATATTGTTAGGGTGATGGTGCCAAATTAGGCTTTTTTCCCTTAGGAAGTCAGTTGCTCAGTTGGAATTCTGGAAACAGGTTTGTCTCAGATTCTCACGTGGTGTGCTGCCCTCAGCCCCTCGTTCTGGATGAGAACAGTTTCTCTGGAAGTTCATGAATTATTTCTTTGTTTGAACAAGTTTGTGTCCTTTGTTTCAGTCTTCAGAATGTGCATCTTAATGTTTGTTTGTTTTCTGAAATAACTTTCTTCCATGCTGTTATTTCCAAGCACTTACTGTGATTTTGCCCAAAGGTTCTGAAAGGGTTGGGTTATAGTTCATATCTTCTAGGCAAAAACATTATTTCTTTTCTTGTGTAGGACACGGGTGACATTTTGATCAAGTTCTCTTTGTTCCACAGAATCTGTCTATGACCTTCTCCCAAAGGAGCTGCAGTTACCACCTTCCAGAGAAACATCCATAGCATCCATGAGCCAAACAAGCGGTGGTGAGGCCGGTTCGCCGCCTCCAGCTGTAGTTGCTGCTGGTAAGGACTCTCCTTTATTCTGGTGTTTTCTCAAGGTTTGTGACGTTCTGGCCAACATGAACAGTGCTGGCAAAGTTCTGAGTGTAAAAAAGAGCTTGTGGAGAAGTAGCAGAGTTCATTCTAGGAGAATGTAGGTGCTGTAGTTCAGCTGGGCGATCAAAAGTGTCAGGTATTTTATGTTGAGGTTGCTGTGTTTCATACAGGCATCTCCATGAGCAATAAATCAGCTGTTCCTCTATTCTGCTATGCCACACAGGCAGTTAACTCCTAGAATGCACTCTGTCTTCCAAGGGAATAAATCCCTGTTTGGAACTAAGGCGGAATGCTGACTGACAAAGCCAGTGGATTCTAGTTAGGATAAAAATGGAAGGGGAGATGACATTTTGGGCCATGAAGCTTTTACCAAAATGTGAGGAAGAAGAAAAGGTCATGTTTTCCATTGGGCCCTGAGGAAGTGTAGTATTTAAACTCCTTTCACACACATCTCTAGTGTGGTGTGGTTAAAGATCCTCAAATACATGAGGTTATAATGTAGCTGTCATCAGCTGGTAGTCTAAATGACCAGTGTAGTTATTTTTCTAATTGACAACATATAAAAAAGAGGCATGACCTTTTAATCTGCATCAATTTCTTATTCCCAGCCATGTTCTAGACTTTAAAGACTATCACTGATCTTCATTAAACAGAAAAAAAGTGAGGATCTAGGGGCAAAGCTTTGATTTGGGAGATTAGCCTCAGTGCTGGCTTTCATCTGGGATTCTTATCAGTAACTTGTATATATTAGTACACATCTGTGCAATGGGAAATAAAGATAATTTTGCCCATTATAGATGTGTCTCCCTCAGTGGATAAGGGTTTTTTTCATAATTTGATCCCTGTATTTTTTTACAAGGTCATGTTCCAGTTTCCTAATTGGCATTAAATTTTTGCTTGAGAAAAAAATGGCTGTAGGGTGAGAATTCAGGTAGCTGCATTATTCCTGTTTCTCTCTCTCCAAGTTCATATGCATTAAATGTTTGTGTGAGAACGTTTCCCAGATTTGCATGGTCCTGGCATCCTGATCAGAACCTGAAGTGGTTGTAGGTTTGTCAGAGAAACTTTACAGCACTGCTCACCATTCATGTTTTGCCAGACCTCTCCTGAGAACCTGTGGATTTAACTGTGCACAGTGGAACTTGGTCATTGAAAGAATTTGATGCTTTTATTATATCAAAAGGATTTGATGTTTTTATATCACTTACTAAAAAAACAATTTGAGCATCTGTTTCTAAAGTCAAGGTGCTTAATGATGGGTTTGGTTCATAGACAGCAGCAACCAAATCTTGTAGAAACTTGTATCCTCAAAACAACTGCACAAAACCAGCCCACAAACCCTGTTACACTCTAAATCCACAGACAGGCCTGAACTGCTAATTAATTCTGTGCCTAACAGAAAAGACTTAAACTTGAATGGAACTAAAAGTCTGTTGCCTCCAGGTATTTGGCATCTGCCAACAGCCAGTCCAGATCCTTTAAAAAACCTGAGATGCATTCATTAGGTGTGTTTGGGTTAAACTGCAGCACAAATTTCTGGAATGAAAAACTTTGAAAAATAAATATTGAGGCTTCTTGTTAAAATTGAAAGAACACCTGATCATTCACATATCAACACTGTTCAATGTCAGAGACCACAGAGGTCACAAAGACTGAGCTGATACCAAGTTGAGGGCTAGGATTATTCAGTGTGGAGAAGAGAAGGGTCCAGGGTGACCTTAGAGCTCTTCCAGTGCCCAAAGGGGTTCCAGGAGAGGGATTGGGACAATGACCTGGAGTGAGAGTTGTTAAAAATTCTGTTTAAACTGTCCCACCCAACCAGACAAAACCCCAAAAGAGGAGCAGAGACCTGTGTTGTTCCCATTGCTGGTTTGAACGGGGCACATTCTGTGTTCTTTCTGTAGCTGTGCCCGCTTGGTAGAGAAAAGGGTGGTTTCCTATTTTCTGTAATTGTTGTGGGATTTCTGCAGCATCTGTGAGAATTCCACCACACTTTCAGTCTGTTACCCTGCCTTGAGTATTAACGAGAGGTCTGGCTGGGGTTTCTTTACAGGAAAATTATCCTGGGCTTTGTGCAAACCAGGTGCTTATACAGGGAACCACACATGCATTTTATATATATTTCAAAAGATTAATATTGACTATCATTTGCATACATCAAATATTTAATAGCAGGCTCTAGGCAGATTTTTGGGGAGCTGATGCTGTACAGGAGCAGGGTAAGGAGGAAGGACTGGCAACCTCTTGTTCTGTATCTGAAATTTTTCCCTTTTTTTTGTGTCAGTCTTTCTATTTTTTTTTTTTTTTTTTTTTGATCTGGTCTTACTTGCCTTAAAACCTCCTTTTTTAGGAATGAAGGGGAAATGATAGTTCAGTCTGCATAAGGCTGTATGTAATCTCATTTACTCTTGTTTTTAAAAGGAAGGGCTAATTTGAACATTTGGCCACACCATGTAGAATTCCCCTACAGATCTGATTACACTGGATAATGAGAGGATTCTGTGACAGGGATTGATCCAAAGCGTTCAGAGCTTTTCCCTACTCCTCTAGTAGTTCACACAGCTTGTTCTCTGCTTCCTGAAATGCAAAGTAAGGCAATATTTGTCTGAAATTCAGCTCACTCAAGGTTTTTTTGTCCCCTTGCTGTGGGGTTTTGTCCCATATAAATTATATTGTAGGTTGGAAATACTGCTGCAGTTAACTCCTGGTTTTTTTGGAGGAGCAGGATAGGCTGGTTTTAGCAGTGATGACCTCACAGTGACAGACTTCTAGTTCTTCTTCCATTTGGAAATTTATTTTATGACTTACAGAACAGTTGTAAGAGTATGAAAATGGAATGTTGCTGATTGGATTTTCATTAATTTGTTAATAAATGTGTATCTCCTATTCATTAATCCAGACATAAGAGGCATTACCCACTTTGAATACCAGACAAGTGTGATTTCATAGAACTCTGGGATTTTGAGCTGCTATCTCAAGCTTCTAATTCTGTAGTTCTTCTGGGAAACAGAAGGGAGGGAACAGATCTGTTTTTACCCTTGGAAACCATTCTCTGTGCTTGCTACTTGAATTCCAGTGGCTTTGTTCAGGAGACAGGAAAAGGAGGATTTTGCCTGGTGCAGCACCATAAACACATTAAATATGAATCATCTCCAGACTCTGGAAATGCATGAGGGTGTCATGCTGAGAAATGTCATTGTGTGCTCTGCCTGGAGATTTTACATGAAATAAATGAGCCTGAAGCTTTCCCAGTGCTCCTGCCAGTGTTTGAGCTCCACTTGCTCCACTCGAGTCTCTCCTCAGTTGGTTCTAAAAGCCTGAACAATTTTTTGGTGTTGATCAAGGCACCTTGAGCCTTAAAAGGCTTAAAATTCACTCTGCCAATTTAAGTCCTTCCTCAAAGGAGTCTTTCCAGCTTGTAGGTAGCACATGGTTCTTGTCTTTGGGGGATGATCTGGGGTATTTTCAACCATATTCTTTAAATGAGTGTTGCTTTTTCATCTTTTATCTCCAGTGCCAGGAATGCTCGACCCTTCTGAGCCCCAGTGAACTGTTACACAAACTCACTTCCCTTCTCACCATCCCTTGTTCTTCCTGCAGCAGAACTTGGAATGAGGTGCTTCATCTTGTTGATGATCTCTCAAGCTGCTTTCCATTTCCCAGAGGCAAATATATATATATATATATTTCCATATTTTTGCATTGCTGTCCGGTTTCCAGTTCTTAGTCTCCAGTGGAATTCTCCAGTGTGGTGTTCTTTCTGCAGCAGAAGGGGAACAGGTTTAGTGCTACTGAAATGTATTTACTGATCTCTTCTTTTGCATTCTCCATACTGGGATACAGTAAATCTGTGATGTAGTGAAGTGTTCTGGCTCCCAAGCACCTGTGATTACATCCTAGGAAAATAGTAGGTAAATGATGAGACTTTATCTTTTTGTGATCAATTTTATGCTTTTTTAAATATTTATTTATAATTAAAGGGATAATCTACTTGCCCAAACAGATGTAATCAGCTTTTTTTGATTGGAGTTGTAACTGAAGTGTTGCCCTAAGCATCTTTGGTTATTTTAATTATCAAAATACAGTCTTTGATTTGGAATTGCTGCTTTAGAGGCATGGATAAAGATACCTGCACTGCCTGTAGGGTAGATATTGGGTGCTAAGGGGTCATGTTTTCTGCTGCCAAAATAAAGCTTTTTCATCCTTCTCCAATGGAAGATTCTGATGAAGCCTCAAAATGGAGATGGGTTTGTTTTGGTTTGGTTTTCCCTGAGTGGCTTCTCAGGCCTCTTCATTTTTATTTTTACAGAAAATATTTTGTTCAGTTATCATCCTTCCTGGTGTCATTAGTCAGTTTTTCCTGTTGATACAGAAATAATTACCAGACATTTCAAAGGGGATCTCAGTGCTGTCCCCAGTTCTCTTATCCTGAGCTTACGATTGTAAACAAATGAGCAGAAAAAAAGATTCTTCTTTGTAGTTGGTCCCTGATGCCTGTAAAAGCTTCCATTTCTTTGTAGGCTTTTCCCTTCCTCTTCCCACCACCCTCGCAGCTGGAAGTGCCTTCCTGTCATTTCCAGGAGGATCTTCCAGGGATTTCTGTCTGCAGCCTGCTCGCTGCAGCCACCAGGCAGATCCTTCTTCCTTGCACAGAGAGCTTCAGGCAGACCCTGAGGCTCGTTCAGAGCTCACCCTCCTGCTGCTGTACTTGGCTTCAGGTGTTCCTGCTGGAAGTTCATGGCCCAAAGGAGCCGTGCTGGAGCCCAGCCTACACAGGCCAGGCTGTGGTGAGGGTCAGCTCAGCTTGGTTCCTTCATCATCCCAGAGGGTTTTCCCATTTTCTGGGAAATGCCAGAGATAAAGATTTTCTTACTGTTTCCATTTTATTGAAACATTTTAGGTGTGTTCTCTCTAAATCGAGTTGGAATATTCCAGTTGTACGGAGTCACGTGTGTGTTGAGGGCCTT